AAAAAAAAAGAACAACTTTTCCCCAAAATCAGGCAAAGCAGGCAGGCAGATTGAGTTGTTCACAGGTTCACAGATTCATTCAGAGATCTGTGAGATCGGCTACCTGAGCCTGTCACATAAAATTTGCTTGCAAGCAAACCCATAAAATTTGCTAGCAAGCAAACTCACAAAATTAACTCACAACACATCATGTATGTAAATATTGAATTTTTTATTAAAAAAAAAAAAAAAAGAGAGAGAGAGCAACTATTACCCAAAATCAGGCAAAGCAGACAGGCAGATTGAGTTGCTCACAGAGTCAGATTCACTTCGAGATCTGTGTTTCTACCATCGGCTAGCTGAGTCTGCACTGCTTCAGTCCTAAGGAAGGTTCGGTTCTGCTTTTAAGTAGAGCCAAAGATCTAAAGCAGTGGTTCCCAAACTTTTTCAGTCCACCGCCCTCTTGGTGTTACAAACTCATCCTCAATGCCCCCCCACCCAGGGGCGGGATTCAAATTTCTGTGGGCATGGCCTAATTTGAGGGTGTGGCTTGCTGGTCACGTGACTGGGTGGGTGTGGTTTGGTGACTGGCAAACCAAATACAAGTGGTCCTCACTTAATGGCCGGTTACTTAGCAAGTGTTTAATTTATGACTGGCCTCCCCAGAACTACTTGACCTGTTTTTGGAGTTTTGACAGCCATGCACGCACACACACACACACACACACACACACACACACACACACTTGGTGGAGCAGGTCATTGGACTAGAATCGGCAAAGCATCTCTGATTAGATTCTAGTAGTGATTCTAGTAGCCCTTTTCCACATTGAAGCATCTTTGCCAGCATCTTTGCCAGCACATTGAAACATCTTTGGCTTCTATTAATTAAAAGTTTTGTGGACGAAACATGGCCAAGACTATCAGGAAGCTCTCACATTTTGTTGAGGCTTTAAACAGGATCCATTGGACCAGACCTCCACCCTAAAAATTTACTTTTCCCCAATGTATTACAGTGCCAATTCTGAAGAAGGCAAAACCAAAATGTATTGGTAAATTACAAGGAGAACACACACACACACACTCCCTTCTAACCCTGCTGGAGCATGTGGTTGGACTAGAATAGATATCTCATTATATTTCTCCTCCCTCCCTCCCTCTTTATTTCTTTTTCTTTCTGTCCCTTCCTTCCATTCCCCCCCCCTCTTTCTTTGTCCCATTTTCTTTCTGTCCCTTTTCTCTTTCTCTTCTTCCTTCTATCTTTCTCTGTCTCTCTCTCTTTCCTCTCTCTCTTTCCCTCTCTCAGGCTCACCCCATTGACTTGGTGCACTGCTCTGTTCGGACTTGCTTAGGCAAGTCCCTCTGGTGCAAGAGGCTCAATGGGATGATCCTTCGGGGCCTCGCCCCAAATGCAGCGGTGGCGGGACGTTTGAAAAGGAGAACAAAGCCACTCTGGCTTGCTCTCCTTTCCCAACGCTGCATTCGGGGCAAGGCCCCGCAGGCTTACCCCATTGAGCCCCTTGCACTGGAGCATGCAAGTCAATGGGGTGATCCTGTGGGGCCTCCCCCCGAACGCAGTGGCAGCGGGATTTTTTCTCACCCCTGAATTTTGCCCTGTAAGGGGCCCACCTCTAGCGCCCCCTGCTGCCTCTTAGCGCCCCCCTGCCAGCCCCCTTGCCTCTTAGCGCCCCCCTAAGGCATCTCATCACCTCCAGAGGGCGGTACCGCCCACTTTGGGAACCACTGATCTAAAAATTAGCTAGAAAGCAAAAAATCCAACGATTTTCTGCTTTCTAGCTAATCTAAATCTCCCGGCACAGCAGAACAGCTGATGGTTGGAAAAAAGGAAAAATAGCAATTTAGCAGGCAAGTTTGCCAGATAAGGAATGAGTTGGGTGGGGAAGGTTCCTGCGGGCCATGTGGGTGGTGCGGCCTTGTGTTCCTGCACAGCCTGGATTAATTGCTTTGGGGGGGGTGCTCTGCGGGTGACATTTCTCTGCAGACCATCAAAATTTTCTCATGGACCACCAATGGGCTGCCCACCAGTTGGTGACCACTGCCCTACAGCATCACTCCCCAACCTTTGCAGTTGGTGGCCCGGTTGTTGGGGGGAGAGGGGAACTAGGCTGCGCATGCAGCAGGCCAGCATGCATGCGCACAATTTGACTTGCATGAGTAGCGGGCCAGTGTGCATGCATATAATTGCCCTCTGGCCCGCTGCTTGCGCAAGTTGAGCTGCACGTACATGCTGTGGTCAGACACTCACACTGCCCAATTCTGAATAGGCCACAGCCCAGTAGTGGGTCGTGAGCCAAAGGTTGGGAATCCTTGTCCTATAGTATATGTGCTAGGTTTTCCATACAAAGCTAAATGAATGTTTGGGGTACAATAATACTGGGTAGAAGATTGTAATAGCTTTAAAAAAAATAGTTTTATATTGTTAAATATAAAAACCTATAGCTAAACATAATAGTCAATATCAAAACAGCAATAATCATGAAGAAAATAGGTGAAATGTCTGTGTAAACAATCAAACATTTGAACATATTAACCAAACTTTTTGCTTGCCCCATCGTTGCAAACAGCTTTGACAGAATTCTATCAAAACAATTATTATAGTTTTCTTTAGTATGAAGTACCACTGGTTGCAGGCCTGTCAAACTGGCGGCCCGGATGCACAGGGCACATCCACCTTGGCTCCGCAAAGGCAAAAAAACCATTGTGATACATCATGGATATGTCACGTGACACAATTGAGTTTGATACCTGTGGGTTAAAGCATCAGGCTCGGAACTAGGAGCCTGTGAATTCTTGTCCTTGAACACAAAACTAGTTGAATGATCTTGGGCTACTCACTTTCTCTCAGCTCTAGGAAAGTGGCACTGGCAAATACCTCTGACAAACATTGCCAAGAAAACTACAGGGACATGTCCATGCAGTACCCAAGAATCAGATACAATTCAACAGAAGAAAAAAAATCGTTACGAGAATACGATAAATAGTCATTATAATATGATAAATAGTCATTATAATCAAACAAGAAAAGTTAGGCAGGAAGAGCTGCAGAAGAAAGCAATATGAAATATTAAGCAACATAAAACCACTTAAGTCTTCCCACAATTATAATCCTCATGCCATCTGATGAAATACATGCCATAGAAATCACATTTACAGAGAGCATGTGTTGCACAGAAGTCTCAGCTTACAATGATCACATGTAGAGCAAGACATCACCTGTGAAGTCAACCAGAAAAAGCTGGAATGTGATTCATTGACCCTTTGGCTTCCACTACTTCTGTTTTTTCGTACACAATGGGATCTATGAAACTGCTAATTGTGCGTTGCCAGAGCAAGGAGTGAGGCATTTTGTAAGAGAGGAAATGGCTGAAAAGAGATGAGTATGTTAGCGTTCCTCTGCTCCTTTCTTTTTCCCTTCATTATCTTTGTGCCAGATAGAGTCAAAATGGGAATGGTAAGAAGTGTCAGAATAGGAGACAACTGAGAAAGGTAAGAGTTGAGTGATCTTCCAGAGATGTCTAATAGTGTCCCATGTTGTCAACCATTTCACTGTAGCTTTGCATGTGACAGTAGAGAAGATTGACCATTAGGCCATGTGAGGAGGTGGATCACAACAACATCTGAATGAAGAACCTTCTTAGTGACATCACCCTCCAGCCCTAGGATTCCTATCCAAATTTTATAAGTCCTTTTTTTTTTTTTTTTGCTAGTACTTAATTATTATTTACTGGAAATCTGGGTCTCTGATAACTATCAGATTATGACCGTGAGACAGAGCAGAATTTGATTATATCATAGGCATATTGCAATAAATAATACCTATATTTGCATTCACTAATAATTAATCTGTGTATTGCATTCAGATACTCTGTTGAAACATTATACATAAGGGTACATAATTAAATACATCCCATATGAAACAAGTCTATTTTATTCCATTTTGCATCCCAGGGCAAACGTTTGAAAATGGATGAAGCTGTTTTAATTTGTTCTACAAAGAAAGGTGCAGCACTTACTGCAGGACTCTAATGAACTATCATTTTTTATAAATTTCTGCCATAGCTTGCACCAGAAACAAAAGGTGTGATTCACTGGATAATGGATATTCCCTTCGTACTGTCTGCCAATCTTCATGGTGGGGACCTTGTGGCAAATTACCCATATGATGAGACTCGGACTGGTATGTATGGTAAATCCAAGCCTGAATAGCCTTGGTCAGCTTAATGACTGTGCTGAGTTCTGAAGAGCATGCTGAGAACCACATTCCCAACCTGGGCAGATTAAATTTTACTGTCCATTATTTTAATTACTCTTATCTTTTGTATTATTTATAAGTTTTAATTTCGTCTCTTTTTGCCTGTTACTGCAGACTTCCCAGAATAAACTATTTTTTCTTCTTCTTTTTAATCAGTAGGGAGGCAGAGTTTTTTTCTTCTTCTTTTCTTTATGGTATGTTGTAGTTTTCTTAATCAACAAAACAACTTTTTTTTTCCTTTTTAAGGCTGGAAGAGCCCTGTTCTGACCCAAGCCTTGTTCAAAGCAAACAAACACCAAACAAAGATAAAAGCAAAACCTTTTTAATGCTTCTCTGTGAATTCTGTTCATTCACAGTAAATCGCTATTAAAAACTAATTGTCCCAGATAAGAACAAGCCTTGCCAAGGTTTTGCAAGGCTGCCAAGAACACTAGATTAAATTGCAAGGAAATAATCAAAACCAAAAGTCTTCAAACAAACCAGGATAGTGCAAACTTCCACAAGACTTGAAGTGCAAGAACTTCTTTGCTTCCTGCAAAGAATCCCACCTCTGAGGGCTGGCTTTTATCCCTTAAGGGAGGGACCATCACCTTGCAGTCTTACTCCCGAGTTTCCCGTGCTGCTGCAGCTGCTCTTCGAACAGCCCTGGGCACACACGCACTGGGCACACATGCACTGGGCACACACGCACTGGGCACGGGCTCCTCGGGGTCCTCTTCATCACTACTGCCAGCCCCCACAATCTCCGAAGGCAGCACTCCACTCCCTGATGGTCCTGGCCCCATCCCTGCATTACAAGCAGGCCCCTCATCCGAGTCCTCACTCTCCGAGACCTCAGTCATCCGCCCCTGCTGCGGGCGAACCACAACAAGCCCGTGGAAGAGGAGGGGAAAAAAACTCTGGAGTAGGTTTTAGGGGCATAATAATGAGGATGAGATTATACCATTCTTCTTACTTTAGTTTTCTTTTATTTTTTTTTATGTTGCTGAAACAACTTATTAAGAAGAACATGTATCTCAATGTGACTGTTCTAATTAAACACCAACGATCTTCATGTGAAGCTCTTGTCATGGATAAGCCTGAATTTTAAATGATCTAGGTTCAGATAATTAAAGCTGGCCTACATTCTTTCTTTTTCTTTCCGTCTTCTATTACGTATTTACTACCGCTCCCTCAGGAAGTGCACATGAATACAGCTCCTGTCCTGACGACGCTGTTTTCCAAAGCTTAGCCCGGAGCTATTCGTCTTTTAATCCAGTCATGTCAAACCCGAATCGGCCGCCATGTCGCAAGAATGATGATGACAGCAGTTTCATTGATGGGACGACTAATGGTGGCGCTTGGTATAGCGTTCCAGGAGGTTTGTGTTCGCTGAAATACAACGTTTTAATCTTATGCATGCAGTATGTCAGAATAGAACCGAAAGTAAAAAAAAAAATCTAAGCCAAATAATGACTTATTCGAGATCACGTTTATAGAGCACGTAATGTATTAAATTCTGCAAATATCATAGAACTCACGTAGTTGTTGCCAGAAGGATTTGCAGGCTATTGGTGAGGTTGCTCCTTTTTCTGTTGCAGGGTGATCTAGAAAAAGCTTGTCTTTCACAACGAACTTCTGCAGGCATCAATGGAGGAAGTGATGTTTAAGTAGTAATGTTTCTCTGAAAATAAGACCTATTCCCCCCAAAATAAGCCCTACCTTGATTTTTACATGTGTGCCCAATGTAAGTCCTACCCCCGCAAAATAAGCCCTAGTTAAGACCCCTCCCATTCTGGGGTGCATGGGATGGGATGAGGCGCAAAAGTAAAAAATAGTGTGAGGATGGGGAGTGGAGCTGCCCTACTACTTACTTTCGGACAGTTGCAGCCAGACATCGCACACCCCAAAGCCCACCTTGTCTGGTCGGCCCACTTCTTCTGTGGCTGCTTACCACCATTTGCAGCCATCGCCCCCAGCCTCCATTTTGTTGTCAGAGGCCTTCAGGAAAGGCCTCTACAGCTGGGAAACGAGGTTTGTTCCTGATAAGTTAGTTACCAGAGGTGGTATTCAGCAGGTTCTGACCAGTTCTGGAGAACTGGTAGTGGAAATTTTGAGTAGAATGCAGTAAACAATGACTTTACCATAGGCAAGTTGCCACCTCATAATTAACACTGATATACTGTGTTTCTTGAAACTGCACTATTTTAAAAGAAGCCCATTTCAAAATCCTTGGTTTTCAAGGCTTCACGGGTCATGATGTTATTCTCTGTTATTAACTCATTTTACCTGGAAACAGTTGAATTATACCTGGAAGTTCTTTGACTCCTAAGTAGGATTTTTCGAAGCCAAATGTATCAGCAAAATGTATAGACCAAATGTAATATTAAATGTGGCATGATAATTACATATAGCTATGATTGCAAATCAGTCATTATCTTACCTTTCAGACTTTGGTCCAAGAACTTATTACCTGGCCTGAAGGTCTTGTAAATAGACCAGTATATGTGTACCATACATATATATATATGGGTTTTGAATTTTCTACAGTACGCATCTATTTATTCCAACTGATTCCACCTAATTATTTCCACTTAACTTTAATCTGATATGCTTTTGAACTCACTGCCTATTAAATGTCAACTTTTGTATATGTAATTACATAGGTATGCAAGACTTCAATTATCTCAGCAGCAATTGTTTTGAAATCACAGTGGAGCTTAGCTGTGAAAAATTCCCTCCAGAAGAAACTCTGAAAACCTATTGGGAGGACAACAAGAATTCACTTATCAGTTACATTGAGCAGGTAAATTTTTCCTGGAGAACAAAGTTAGGACATTTGTTGACCATCAAGTGTTATGCTTAGTTTTGGGTGAACATAGAGCCAGAAATACACTGCTCAAAAAAATAAAGGGAACACAAAAATAAGACATCCTAGATCTGAATGAATGGAATATTCTTATTAAATACTTTGTTCATTACATGGTTGAATGTGCTCACAACAAAATCACACAAAAATTATCAATGGAAATCAAATTTAGCAACCCATGGAGGTCTGGATTTGGAGTTACACTCAAAATTAAAGTGGAAAACAACATTACAGGCTGATCCAACTTTGATGTAATGTCTTTAAAACAAGTCAAAATGAGGCTCAGTAGTGTGTGTAGCCTCCACGTGCCTGTGTGACCTCCCTACAACGCTGGACATGCTCCTGATGAGGTGGCGGATGGTCTCCTGAGGGATCTCCTCCCATACCTGGACTAAAGCATCCCCCAACTCCTGGACAGTCTGTGGTGCAACGTGGCATTGGTGGATGGAGCGAGACATGATGTCCCAGATGTGCTCAATTGGATTAAGGTTTGGGGAACGGTCGGGCCAGTCCATAGCATCAATGCCTTTGTCTTGCAGAAACTGCTGACACACTCCAGCCACATGAGGTCTAGCATTGTCTTGCATTAGGAGGAACCCAGGGCCAACTGCACCAGCATATGGTCTCACAAGGGGTCTGAGGATCTCATCTTGGTACCTAATGGCAGTCAGGCTACCTCTGGCGAGCACATGGAGGGCTGTGTGGCCCCCTAAAGAAATGCCACCCCACACCATTACTGACCCACTGCCAAACCGGTCATGGTGGAGGATGTTGCAGGCAGCAGAACATTCTCCACGGCGTCTCCAGACCCTGTCACGTCTGTCACATGTGCTCAGTGTGAACCTGCTTTCATCTGTGAAGAGCACAGGGCGCCAGTGGCGAATTTGCCAATCTTGGTGTTCTCTGGCAAATGCCAAACGTCCTGCACAGTGTTGGGCTGTAAGCACAACCCCCACCTGTGGACGTCAGGTCCTTATACCACCCTCGTGGAGTCTGTTTCTGACCATTTGAGCAGCCACATGCACATTTGTGGCCCGCTGGAGGTCATTTTGCAGGGCTCTGGCAGTGCTCCTCCTGTCCCTCCTTGCACAAAGGCGGAGGTAGCGGTACTGATGCTGGGTTGTTGCCCTCCTATGGCCTCCTCCACGTCTCCTGATGTACTGGCCTGTCTCCTGGTAGCGCCTCCATACTCTGGACACTACGCTGACAGACACAGCAAACCTTCTTGCCACAGCTCGCATTGATGTGCCATCCTGGATGAGCTGCACTACCTGAGCCACTTGTGTGGGTTGTAGACTCCGTCTCATGCTACCACTAGAGTGAAAGCACTGCCAGCATTCAAAAGTGACCAAACCATCAGCCAGAAAGCATAGGAACTGAGAAGTGGTCTGTGGTCACCACCTGCAGAACCACTCCTTTATTGGGGATGTCTTGCTAACTGCCTATGCTTTCCTCCTGCTGTCTATTCCATTTGCACAACAGCATGTGAAATTGATTGTCAGTCAGTGTTGCTACCTAAGTGGACAGTTTGATTTCACAGAAGTGCGATTGACTTTGAGTTACATTGTGTTGTTTAAGTGTTCCCTTTATTTTTTTGAGCAGTGTACTTTTGTGTGATCATGGCTCATTACCTCATCATTTGAACTACCACTTCCTTCAAATGTGTCCTGTTTCAAACACACAGACATGCAGTTGCTAGGTGACAGTAGCAGTTTGCTTAAGATGGTACGGATAAACAGCAGATAAGCAAATTAATATCAACAGAATGTCCTAGAAACAAAGCTTGTCTAAGTGGTTTTGCTTTAAACAGGACCATGCAGAAAAGAGGTTCAGACAGTCACGCCAGGTTCCTTACTAGTCCAAAGGTCAAGAGTTTCTTCTATGAACAGAATATACAGAAACAATATGCCAGACACAGGCAATTGGACTTCCAATAGCAAAACAAGGCCACCTCTTAAATCAGTCTGCATCCAGCTGTCCTCTCATTAAGACAGTCACCCCCTCGCTTGCCAAGGAGCCTCAATGAGCATTTTTACTTGCTGAATCTGAAGATTTGAAAGCTGTATCTTATCTGTTCCAACTATTCTGATAATGCCCCCGTTTGATCAGTCTCAAAGCGATTCATGGCTTGATCTTCTGAAGTTCACCTTCTGCTTGGCTCAGCTGGAATGGCTTCTTCAGATTCAGAGTCCCCTGAATCCTGAGCCATAACAAAATGTAAAGAAAGCACTGCCAGTTTTCAGAAGTCAAGATCAGACAGGACGGTGATGTCTGGACAAAGAGGACTCGGAGATTTGCACTGCAGGTTTCCTGTCCTTGTAGTAAAACCAACCAACCTTTTCTCTCTGGCAAAGGGCAGGTACTCAGTGTTGCATTTGAAGAGTAAATATTACAATTGCATCCTTCATGTTGAAATTTAAAGAACTGATAGAAAGCCTAGTCAACACCTCAGTATGATACGTGTTTACACATAAGCTACATCTCATTCAGCTCAATGAATTTGTTTAGGAGATATATATTGTAGAAGAGAAGCAAGTGTTAGCATTACCCTGTGTGGCTATAATTATACATGATTGGGGTTGATTTGAAGTACCGTGTTTCTCATATAATAAGGCCGGGTCTTATTTTTTTTTGAGCCCCGAAAAAATGGCTAGGCCGTCTTTTCGGGGGTGACTTAATTTCCGCCCCTTGCATCTTCGGGCGGGCGGCGACGGCTTGGATGTTGACCCCAGCGTTGGTGGGACACTTCGTATTGGGGTCAATGCAGGCAGCACCATATCCGGGTGTGCAACAAAAGTACTTCCTAATGGCAAGCCCCCCCACCATTCCCCCCATTTTGCATGTTTTAATATAGGCCTTAATTTGGGGGGAGGGGCTTAATTTAATTTCATGCCTATAAAACATGCTGGGACTTCCTATTGGGGGAGGCTGTATTGTTGGAGAAACAGGGTAGAAACAAAGGTGGAATCAAAATTAATAGATCTCATTTTGAACTTTTTATTTGTATCTGACTTCAGTTTCTACTTTGGAACAATAGTTCAAATTAAAAGATTTGTTATATTAAATGTCATCCCAAACCCTAGGAGAATTCTGAAACCAACAGCTTATTTTGAGATACCATGATGCAGTTGGAAAAACTACCAAAGTTCACCGAATAAAATATAGGCTTAAGCATTAAAGCTTTGAATGTATAGTCTTGATCCTTTGCACCTGACTTGTGGCCAAGCAGGAATCTTAAGAAGACAAACCCTGAACATATAGAGAACTTCACGTGCCCAAGATTTTCTACTTATACTCTGATGACACACTCTGATGACATGTATAAATCACATATGATTTCACTTTAACCAGCTCTAAGAACCATCTGGCTCTTATAGAAGATTACCATGTTCCTCCTCCTCCTCAATTTGTCTTAGTAACCAGATGAATTCTATAACCCAAAGATGACCCTTCTGGGAACATGCCCTCTCTATTCATGGTACCCAATAACCACTTCTCAAGAATCATTATCCATTTCTTATAATGTACTTGCTTTCTTCATTGTTCTACAGTTGGAAGGCTCATGAGGGACCAGTCAGCACAGGAAACCTATTTCTTCAGTAGACAAAACGATCTACATGTGATTTTATATTTATATTAAGCTTCTTTGTGCCAGCTTGTCATTTAACAGATAATCAGAGTTGGAAGGAACCTTATAGGTCATCTAGTCACCACCACCCCAATCCAAGCGGGAGACCTACACCATTTCTGACAAATGGCAGTCCAATCTCTTCTTGAAGATCTCAAGTGATGGCACTCCCACCACTTCCGAGGGCAAGCTGTTCCATTGTTCTGTCAGAAAGTTTCTCCTTATTTCCAGGTTGAATCTCTCCTTGTTCAGTTTCCATCCATTATTCCTTGTCTGGCCTATAGGAGCTTTAGAAAATAGCTGACCCCTTCCTCTCTGTGGCAGACCCTCAAATATTGGAAGACCTCTATCATGTCTCCCCTAGTCCTTCTCTTTACTAGACTAGCCATGCCCAGTTCCTGTAACCGTTCTTCATATGTTTTAGTCTCCAGTCCCCTCATCGTCCTGGTTGCTCTTCTCTGTACTTTTTCTAGAGACTCAACATCTTTTTTATAATGTGGTGACCAAAACTGGATGCAGTACTCTAGGTGTGGTCTTACTAAGGCTTTATAGAGTGGTATTAGTACCTCACTTGATCTTGATTGTATCCCTCTGTTCATGCAACTTAGGATTGCATTAGCTTTTTTGGCTGCTGCTGCACACTGCTGGCTCATATTTAGCTGGTTGTCCACTAAGACTCCAAGATCCTTCTCACAGTTACTGCTATTGAGCCTGGTTTCACCTAGTCTATATGTGTACTTTTAGTTTTTCTTGCCTAAGTGTAGGGCTTTACTTTTCTCTACATTGAATTTCATTTTGTTAGATACGGCCCCGTATTCTAATCTGTCAAGATCCATCTGGATCTTGAGCCTATCTTCTTGGGTGTTAGCTATTTCTGCTAGCTTAGTATCATCTGCAAATTTTAAGTTCCCCTTCTATTCCCTCATCTAAGTCGTTAATGAAGATATTGAAGAGTACTGGCCTAAGACAGAATCTTGTGGCACCCCACTGCTTACTTCCCTCCATGTAGACTTAGACCCATTAAGGACTACTTGTTGAGTACGGTTTGTCAGCCAGTTGCAAATCCATCTAGTGGTGGTGCTAATTATTTCACTTTTTTCTAGCTTACTAAGAAGTAGATTATGGTCTACTTTGTCAAATGCCTTGCTGAAATCTAAATATATTATGTCCACAGTATTTTGCTGGTCTACTAATTTAGTCACTATGTTGAAGAATGAAATAAGATTGGTTTGGCATGATCAGTTCTTAACAAACTCGTACTGACTTGTATTTAACTCATAGTTGGATTTTTTTTTTCCTTTCAATTTTTGTTTGTCAGCATGATATCTTTCTGAAAACTGAACAGGGAACAGATTTGGTATGGCAGGACAAAGAAAGGTGGACATGAAAAATAGGCATCATGCTGAAGATGGTGAAAAAGAAAATTTCCCAGTGCATTCCGATAGAATAGGCAGCTGGGAGCAACTGGAAACTGGTGACTGAGGTAGTCCAAAGCCTTGTCCTAGTCACATGATCCAGAATTGTCACATGTATCATGCTTCCCAATGCACACATATTGGCACATGGAACAACTGCAGAAACACAAACACATACAGAGATGCTCAACTTCCAGAAAAGAGAATCAACATGTCCGCTATAGCAAATATTGATAAAGGGTCTAAAAATAACTCTTCCCTTTTGTTGTTTCTACAAGTATTAAAAACTACACCATTACACTGATTGGGAAAACAGCCTTATCAGAACTAAGTGAATATATTAACTTCTGAAATGAGAATAGAGTGACCCTTTGAGAATCTAATTCCCAATTCTGTAACTAAGGAAGGACTATTTCCTGAAATCAGATGTTGAAGAGTTGAGTCTAAAGCTTGACATATGAAACCACTGATTAAAAACTCACCCAACCACTTAACTACAGAATGGGTTTATTCATGTTGATGGCTATATTTACACGGTTATATTTTGTTGATGGCTATATTTACACAGTTATATTTTAAAAATACCTTTTATGCGTCTACACCTATCCCTTTGCACAAAATGCAGTTGAATGAGGAAGTCTCTATTTAAATGATAGTTTTCTGTTTTATCAACTCACTTTCAACACTTGGCCATGTTTTAAAAATCATAAGGTTACTTTAATTTTGTGGCTTGTTCTAAATCTGGTAACCAGTTCATCAGTTTGAGTAAAATGTGAAACAGAAAGGAGGAGGTGTACCTTTAAGTCACTTTTGGCTACTGAAGCAGTCCTTGCAGTTTCCCTACCAAAGATCTCAGAAGTGGTTTGCTACTGCCTCCTTCCTGGAAACAATAATTAGAGGTTTCGAAAGTCAAATGAGTATTCAGCAATTTTCAAAATATTGCTTGAAGAGGCTCTATGATTAGTCTACCACAGGGGTGGGATTCAAATTTTTGAACAACCGGTTCTGTGGGCGTGGCTTGGTTGGTGGGAGTGGCTTGGTGGTCATGTGACTGGGTGGACGTGGCTTGGTGGTCATGTTATTGGCTAGGCGTGGCCAACTCAATATCATGCACATCGAGGCACGCATCTCCTTACCTGGCCTCTCATGACTGTGGGGATGCTGCAACAGTCGTAAGTGTGAAAAATGGTCCTAAGTCACTTTTTTCAGTGCCATTGTAACTTTGAATGGTCATTCCACACAAGCAAAGTACCAGCAAAGGAGGGGAAAAAACTTCCAGAGAAGTTCCAGAGACAGGAAGTTTAGTCCTGCCAAGAATGTAATAAGGGTTAACAGAGAGGCAGTTTCTGTAAGCAACACCAGAATGTTTCCTTCCTGCCTTTCTTACACGATTAGGCCAGGAATATCTTCTAACAACCGGTTCTCCCAACTGCTTAGAATGTTAACAGCCGGTTCTAGCAAATAGGTGTGAACCTGTAGAATCCCACCCCTGGTCTACCAGCAACAGGCTCTAAACATTACATGCTCATACTGACAATGATCTGAAATACGTTTATCCAGTACAGAAATTTTCTCTGAGACTGAATTTACTAACTTTAATAGAAAGCGAATAGTGGTGAATTGTTCTAAGTTCTTTTTCTCTTTTCTTTTGTAAATATATTATTTAGAGCAGTGGTGGGATTCAAATTTTTTTTACTACCGGTTCTGTGGGCGGGGCTTGGTGGACGTGGCTTGGTGGCATGGCAGGGCAAGGATACTGCAAAATTTCTGTTCCTATCCCACTCCAGGGGAAGGATACTGTAAAATCCCCATTCCCTCCCCACCCCACTAACCTGCTTTCCAGCTCTGTTCTCCTGTGCAGGGCAACAAAAGAAGACCCAGCCGATCAGCTGGGACTCGGGAGGCAGAGAATAAATGGGGGCGGGGCCAGTCAGAGGTGGCATTCCGAACTACTCAAAATTTCCACTACCAGTTCTCCAAACTACTCAAAATGCCTGCTACCAGTTTTCCAGAACTGGTCAGAACTTGCTGAACACCATCTCTTGATTTAGAGAAATATCAAGACTTTTTGTGCTTTATTTTTAAGATACATCGAGGAATAAAAGGATTTGTTAGAAATCTTCAGGGTAATCCGATTGCTAATGCCACAGTTTCTGTAGAGGGAATAAACCATGATATTACATCAGGTAAGTATTCATATATACCACATTGAGATATTTGATGAATGCTGATACATGGATGAATATAGCAATATCCTTTTATATTTTCTGGAGGGTGGTGGGATGCATTCCTTGCATATGACTTTGGAAAGCAAAGAGCATATCAGTAGAAGAATAATTGAAAGCAATCTTAGTCTTTCTTGCCACTGAGGAAAACTTCCAATGGCCAAAATGTTCTTTTGCATATGGAGAGGCATCACCAAAAAGAAAAGCAGTGTTTCCACTTCTAGCATGTGTGTTCGGATTTTTTAAATAAACATTGGAACTAGAAAACAGCATTGTTAGACTTATCTAGAATGAGCCCATTTTCCTGTTTCATTCAGGATGAAATCTGAATCTCAGTTCAGAAATTCAAATCTTTATGCCTTCATTTAATTATAATTGGAAGGCCACAGTTTAATAAAACTACTTTTAATGGACAAAACGTTCAGGATTAATGGCCTCTAATGAAAATAGATGATTATCTATCAAACGTCGGCCAATGAATGGAGAAAACTATGCTGAACTCCTATATAAAAGAAACTGAAAATAAGTTTTTATCTTTTATTTCAGAACTGGATAAATTCAGATAAAGTTGCTCGCTCTCAGTCAATCAGATCTGCTGTATTAAAATTGATATTTGCAAAACTGCAGTCCTTTCTCTTATTGCCTGGAGTCTTAATCCAGTTGTCCTTTTTACAGAAAAAAAGAATGAAACATAAAGCCTTGCATTATATTAAGACATTCCCTGAGAAAAATTGCTAATGCTCATAAATGTCTTAAAAATAATGCAAGGTTTTGTTTTCATGCTCTAAGATGGGAAGAACAAAAATACATTGGGTTCCAGTAAAAAGGCCTTTTCTTCTTCTTTCCAAAATCACTCTTGTATTTTGCACCTGGCTCCAGTTGCATTCTGAGATTCTAATTAGAAAACAAACCAGATCAACCACATTTCAGTGCAACTGAAGCATGTTCCTAAAAGTTTTCCAAAAATAGTGGCATCTTTCTTTTCTTTAGCAAAGGATGGTGATTACTGGAGGCTATTGGTACCTGGAAATTATAAAGTGACAGCTTCAGCACCTGGCTATCTAGCAATCACTAAAAAAGTGGCTGTTCCCTTTAGTCCTGCGATTAGGGTAAGTGATACCATTTTTGCATTTAACTTGTAATGCACGTTCCTATCTTAATTGTTTTTTTTTATGTTTTGTACATCAAGTCTCATTGGAACTCTGAAATATTTTCAGTATTTCTGATGTGGAAAATAAAAATTCTGTCAGAAAGGAATAGAGAGAAAGTCAAGCAAACAAAATATAATACAACATTGGGGGAAAAAATCAACAGTGGTTTTTGCAATGAATAAAAGAAAACTTGCTTTTATATTACAGTGGTTACAGTAAAGCAGATACGACAAAAGAAAAAACATTCTAACCAAAAGAGAGATAAAAAGAAAGATCCATATAATATCCATAGACAGCAATATAAAACCAATTCAGCCCTTCAAAACTAGACCAGGTACAAGTGGCACTTAAAAATCTGTGAACCCATTTGAATGTTAAATATTTCTGCATAGGCATGGCCTAAAACAAGATTAGTTCTCCACACAATTCCTAAAACTAGATATAACATTGACTTTAATATTGTAGAAATGTTCAAGAACCCGAAGTAGGCAGTGCCCTGCAAGTAAGCCATCGACATCTCTGAGTCTGTAAGGAGAAATGGGCTGAAATATCCCCAAGTGATCATAAAGGACTGATCAACAATTTTCAGAAATGTTGAATTGCAGCTGCTATTCCTCTATTGCAGAGGTCTCCAAACTTGGCAACTTTTAAGACTTGTGGACTTCAACTTCCAGAATTCTGGGAGTTGAAGTCCACAAGTCTTAAAAGTTGCCAAGTTTGAGGAACCCTGCTCTATTGAGAGGGGAGGGAACCCATCAATTACTAAAACATGGAATAATAGGGTTTGAAGGGACTTTGTAGATCTTCTAATCCAATGCCCTTCTCAAGCAAAAGATTCTATGTCATTCAGTGATGGAGCAATCACAACTTCTGGAGACAAGCTGTTCCACTGATTATTCCCCCATCAGGAAATTTCTTCTTAGTTCTTAGACTGGATCTCCTTTTAATTATCTTCCACCCATTACTTTTTCTCCTGTCCTCATATGCTTCTGAGAATAGGTTGACCCCTCTTCTCCATGACAGCACCTCAAATACTGCTGATATGATATCACCCATAGACATTATCTTCAGTAGACTAGACATACTTAGTTCCTTCAATTGTTCATTATATGGTTTAGCCTCCAAGCCCCTTATCATCTGTGTTCCTCTTTCCTGCACTCTTTCTAGAATCTCAACATATTTTTGAATTTTGGTGACCAAAACTGGATTCCAAGTATTCCAATTATTTTACCAGGGCAGTATAAAGCAGTGCTATCATTTTATGTGATCTAAGCAAAGGTTCACATACTTTTGTCATGCACTTATATGTAGCTTTGCCTCAATGAAGAAATGAACAAGTATAGCGTTTTTTTATTCATTTGTTTAAATGCATTCACTTTACCTAGCTTTAGGACTTGGTGGGAAAATAGTTCACTTTTTAAAGTCATGTTTATGGAGAAATATCTAAAAATCAAGAGTTTAAGCACCACTGTATATGGTTCGAATTGAAAACAAGAACTTGGTTTTTAGTTAGCTTGGTATTTTCATTACAGAAAGCCTTTTGTTCATTCCTGTCTTAAAAGGTTGTTAGCTAAAAGCACTGAAAACCTTTCTCTAAATTCTCTGCTGAAATAAATCCTAGATACAAAAAGAAAAGTCATACTGCCACCTATAGCTCTTATCCACAAAATGTTCCTGCTTTAGTGTAAGATTTTCCTGGAATGTCAAATTCAGTAAGATATAATAGGAAGGTGGTGCGGGTAGAGGATTAAAAAAAAACTTATATGAAAAATACGATTGCAGACTTAAATATTTCATTGGGGTGCTACATCATTGAGATGTAGACTTAATGCAGAATTACTGAAATAAGTCAGAATTACATTAGTTATGATTCTCATTGGTTTCAGTTGATGTGTTGTGAGGCAGATTTTTTAGAACAGGGGTGTCAGACTCGTGTCGTCATGTCGTTATGTGACACATTGCGACTTTCCCCCCCTTCGCTAAACCAGGGGTGGGCATGGCCAGTGTGTGATGCATCCAGCCCACGGCCCGCAAGTTTGACAGCCCTATTCTAGAATCATCATCACTGTTTCTGTCTGTCCATCTATCCATCCATGTATCTTCTCAGTGATGGCTGGGTTATTTGAGACAATGCTGTAAGTCTCTAGTGGGGAAATGGACTTAAGTCTAGGATATATACAATTTTAGCTAATAAATCCATTTTTTTTTTCACTTATAAATTAAGAATATTAGAATTCATGTTTGCTTCCTCTTTCTAGGTTGATTTTGACTTGGAATCATTGTCTGAAAGAAAAGAAGAGGAAAAGGAAGAGCTAATGGAATGGTGGAAGATGATGTCAGAAACTTTAAATTTTTAAGCAGAAGTTCTGAATTCACATCTTTTAATCTACTATGTGTTCATTTAGTGTATTGTACTGTGAAAAGACCCTACATTTTAGATTTTGTGTAGCTCATAATATGTAACTTCGGGGTGGGCTGAGTAATTTTTTAAATACCAATAACATATTCTCCATAAAAGTATATTGCTGGAACCTTTTATGTCATTTTCGCTGTCCTACATATTCAACTTGAAGGGGAAATGCCCACAAAAATATGTCCTTTCTCTAAAGTAACTGTGAATATGAGTGTTTTACTATCCTAAATATGCAGGTTAAGTACATTATAAAGCTATAATAAATAACAGTCACTTGCAACAACAGCCCCAAATATTTGTCTATACAGGTAAACCTATTTAGATTTTTTTTTTAATTTTAAAAAAAAATCATAATGGCACTGAAAATATATGTGATAAGAACTTAGTCTTGTACATAACAATTAAAGCTTTGTTTTTCTGTGAAAGAGCCATATAAAATAAGGATCCAGGTACTTGGATATTACATATACTACTCATATGGAAATGGCTTACATCGTTCTTAAGAAAAAAATAATACATTTTTTTCCTCTTGTTGTGTTTATTAATGTTCCTAAGTGATGTGGTAATAAGATTAAAAATTCTGGATGGATAAACAGTTAACATATAGTAATGTATATTACTTGGGTTTTTTTGTGCTTGCAATATATTATTTGTATTATTCTGTTTTTCAGTAACTGTATGCATTAAGTATACATGATTTTCAGAAGAAAGCTTCCATTTTCTTTGTATGAAAGAACAGAAAATTCCCCCCATAACTGATCCATCAGCTGCTTCCTTTAATATGGATTGGAAATTCAAGATATAGTCTTAAACGTAAACAAAATGTAAACATGTTTTCTATGAGAAGCAATTTCTCTAGGTTCAGTGGAATTTATTGCCTGGTCACCCATCTTGAATTCAACCACTGCTAAAAATAATCATTTGGATTGTCAGGGTACTTCCTCTGAAAGAGAGAAATTTCCAGTTGAACCACGATTGTTTAAATTGGCCCTAGCACTTAGAGGAGCAACCTGCTTTTCAGTGTAAACCAGCACCCAGAGGATAGCAGGATCAGCCTAAATTAATTTATTTTGTCAAAATAAATTAATCTCTGTTTTGATGTTTCTTTTTAGGCCTGTGCAGTACTTTAGATCTGATTCCTCAGAACCGTTTCAGGATGCGTGGAAGCTCAAATTTACTGCAATGTTTTAAGTAGCTGCCTCTTATCTGGGGGTTTTGTGGCATAACTGCTTTAAGATGCCCCAGAGAGGGGTGGGTGGGTTTGTTGTTCTCTTCTGCTCTGAAGCAATCCCGACCCTAGTTTCCATATCACATATTTCAATAGCTTTTCAGTGCTGTTTGTCGCTGGCTCCTCCCACACTTATACTATTGGTAGGTGACTCCTCTCTTGTTTGAAATTACATATATGCTACCAATGAGCAGCAGATGAATTTGAAGGTGCACATATGCTTCAGACCTGAAACGTCCCGTGAAGAAAGGTGAAAAGTTATTTCTTTGCATACTGTGGATTCTTAGCTCAGTCTCTGGCTTTTTTAGATTTTAGGTAGCGTAGTAGTAAAAGGTTCCCTGGAAAGCTACTCGGTGCAAATGACCAAAGCGTGACATCAACTGGACTTTCTGGATCATTTGAGAAAGGTTTATTGAATTGCTAAAATATGCAAGGCTGTAAAATAGTTTTATGATGTAAGGAATTCAGTGTTTAGTTTTAAAAGGCACAAATTATCTTACAATTAAAAAGTCTATTTAATCTGAAAAACAAAAGATTAAAAGAATGCCTGAGACCCTTTGCTTTCAATTTATCAGATGTTTTATCGAAAAGTTTTGTCTCCCCTCTTTTTTTTTCCTCTTGGGACAGTGCTTAAGGTCAGTACTCAATATTTTCTGGCTGATGCCATCCTCACATGACATTCAGTTCACACAAATTAAAATATGGGGGTTTGTCAAATGCTCAGGAGGAATTATTTTCTCCCCGAGCCCTAAGCATCATTTGGCATTCTTAAACACTGAAGATTTAAGTATCTTGAAGCTACAGGAATGCGTACATTAGTCATATCTGTGTAGCACATTTGGGTCTCTGGGACTGGATAAGCTAAATTAGAATAGAATAGAATAGAATAGAATAGAATAGAATAGAATAGAATAGAATGCCTTTATTGTCATTGCATTCCACAAATACAATGAAATTTGAAAGCTACTCCACCACAGTGCCCCAAACACCACATCACAATCACACTATAGAGTATGTAAAAATTAAAATAATTAAAATAATAATAATAATTTTAAAAACATATACTCATATAAAAAACCTATCTGAACATTAATAAACCTGTCTAAAACCTATCTAAAACATTTAATAAGTTAAATAGTCTAAAAATGCCACTATATACATAGGACTAAATCACACATGCACTATTTGATTGGAAAAGAAACTCTTAATCTATATGTCCTCATTTTAAGATACCTATAACGCCTCTCTGATGGTAACAGTTTGAAATATGAACATCCAGGATGAGAACAGTCTGTGGAGATTTTTAGGGTTCTAGAGAGGAGTCTGGTCTTCGCAATCTCTTCCAAAGAAGGAAGAGAGCAACCGATGATTTTCTGTGCTGTGTTTATAACTCTCTGGAGCATGTTATCCACTGCAAAGCATCCAGCATACCACACCGTTACACAGTATGCCAAAATGCTCTCAATGGTAGAACAGTCAAAAGTAACCAGCAACTTCACCTAGACCGCTCTTTTTCAGCAACCTCAGAAAGTGCAGGTGCTGTTGGGCCTTCTTTGCAGTGGCCATAGTGTGGACCGACCAAGTAAGGTTGGAAATATGAGTTCCTAGGAATTTAAAACCATGAACTCTTTCCACACAGTCTCCATTGATATATAGTGGGAGAGGCTCTGCTTTGCATCTTCTGAAGTCTATAATCAATTCTTTGGTCTTTTTGATGTTCAGGGCGAGGTTATGATTCTTGCACCATAAGACCAGTCTGAGAACCTCTGACCTATAGGCTGTTTCGTCTCCTCCTGATATGAGTCCCACCAACGTGGTGTCGTCTGCAAATTTTATTATAGAGTTAGTGGGACAAGAGGGAGCATGTGTAGAGTGAATACAAAAGGGGGCTCATCACACAGCCCTGTGGAGAGCCAGTGCTGAGAGCAAGAGTGGAAGAAAAATAGCTGCCAATCCTAACGGTTTGGGTTCTGTTAGTAAGAAAGTCCCTTATCCAACAGCAAATGTGAGAGGAGAGGCCCATTTCGAGCAACTTCTTAATCAGTGTACCTGGAATGATGGTATTAAAAGCCGTGCTGTAATCAAGATAGAAAAGCGTTCTTACATAGCTCCCACTATGCTCCAGATGGTTCAGTGCAATGTGGAGAGCAATGGCAATAGCATCCTCTGTGGATCTGTTATTCTGATAAGCAAACTGGTATGGGTCATGGGTCGATGGGAGGCAATCCTGTATATATTTTAAGACCAGTCCCTCAAAACACTTCATAATTATGGGGGTGAGAGCTACTGGTCTATAATCATTTAAAGTATCAGGAGAGGGCTTTTGGGGAACTGGAATAATAATGGAAGTTTTGAGGTAAAATGGAACAATGGTTTGTGTGAGAGGTTAAAAATATTTGTAAACACACCTACGAGCTGGTCAGCACATGCTTTGAGTACCTTCCCAGGTACCTCATCAGGGCCAGCAGCCTTCTTCGCATTCACTGCTCTAAGCACCTGCTTCACATCATACTCTTGTACTGCGAACAGCTGAGTATCGGTGGTTTGTAGAGGCAGGGTGTCCGAAGACCTATTCAGTTCGAATCGGGCAAAGAAGCAGTTCAATGCTTCTGCCAGTGATGCATCCTTATTGATCGATATGGGGTTGCTGCTCCTGTAATTAGTGATGTGTTTAATTCCCTGCCAAGCTACCGTGGATCACTATTTGTGAAGTAGTCGTCAATCTTCTCTTTGTAGTCCTTTTTTGCCTCCTTGTTTCAGTTCTGCTCTTGCCTTGTTACACCAAACTCTGTCCTCAGACCTGAATGCCGTATCATGTGTCCTGAGAAGTAATTGCACGTCCTTTTTCATCCACGGCTTCTGGTTTGGAAAAATCCGGATGTGCTTATTCACAGTGACAGTATCCACACAGGTAGAGATGTAAAACAGTACAATTTTTGTATATTCCTCCAAAATCCTCTAAACAAAAACTGAAAACGGAGTAATTTTAATGAAATATATAACCAAAGCAAACCACTTCTACAGACGTTACTGGTTATAAATAATTTATCAAAGAATAAGCAGAAATGGAGGGTTATCACAAATCAAACCTTTTGAAAGACCCTTTCTTGCCAAAACAGGGATATTAGAATTCTTTTTACTTGTATCCTTCATGTTGAATATCAATTCAGCAAGCCACTGCCAAGAAAAAGATCATAGTTCTTGCTTTCCTGTTGTATGATTGTGGGTCAAAATGTTTTGCAAACCAGAGTTCTGGAATTAATCAGAATAGCAGTACACGTTATCTCTACTCTTCCAATTAATATAACTGAGTGGATGGAGAGATGTACATGCACTCCCTGATTTCAAAAATTATATTTCTGCTTCAGTTTGCCAAATGTAGAATGGGAGTACATTCATTTTAATAGGAATTTGACAATGGCTGAGATAAAGTTATAGCTTTAACAAAGCAATTTAAAAACAATATTTAATAGTAATTACCAAGTTGCAATCTACAATCTACAGTATTAAATTTGCTCTGACATTTTCCTAATAAAGCTGTTGTGATAATTCCAACACATAAGCCACTTTTCTATGAACATCATAGAAATGGATATTGAACATGACACCTTAAAAACTCTTCAGCTATAATTCCTCCCAACAAAACACAACATCCATGAACAAGTACTTCCAACATTTGAAGCCTCCTCATTCCTCATAGTTGCCATTGTGGGAAAGGTAGCCCCATAAAGGTGTTTGAAAAGCTATAGTAGTGCATTTCCAGGCTCCAATCGCTCTCAATAGTTTTAAAACTCCATTGTCTGCAATCTTCAGATCTATCCAAAAATGAAATTTCAAAATGCAATGGTTTTGTCTTCTCTCATGCTTTTTTTTTTTTTAAAAAAACCAAATTTTATTAATTTTCAAAGACAATACACAAACAAACAAAACATAAAACATAAAACATCTTTTCTGAAAACTGCTTATTAAGTTTTAACAAAGCAAATAAAACATCTTATTTGAGTACAGCATAGTTCCAGGTTATCACATTTCCATACAGACACAATTTCATATGCATATTCATCATGTATTCAACTTCATATCTTATTACTCTTTTTCCAACTTCTCACTGTTTCTCCCTTTGCTTCTCTTCATTTTCTTTTATGGTTATCTCATTTTCTTCTTATTCAATTATATTTCTTTTACCTAGATTTCTATATCTTTTTATTCATTGTACTTATACTTTCGTCTGCCTTGTTTACAATTTCATATGTTCTCTTCCAACATTCTTCCAAAATTTTATTAATTTTCTCTTATGCTTTTGAATCTCCCACTTATACTTTTGAATCTCTCTGGTGCAATACTTTTGCAAATTAACTTTGTGGCAATGGTGATACTAAATAGAAGAATCTCTTTGCCTGATGTGGTAGTTTTCGTTTCGTTCTCTCAACAGCATTCTGCTCCACTCTGGCACTAGGAGGAGCTGCAGCTGCCTCTATAGTTCTACCTCTCAAGCGTACAGAAAAAAAAAATAGCAGGCTTGGTTGAAGTGGAAAACTTGGCAGTTTTAAATGGGGTTGAATGTCTCAGGCTTTTGAGTATTTGTCTATAATAATCAAGAATGGGAGCAGGGCTGGCTTGAGAAAGGGAATCTATAGGCAAAGGAGGAGGAGGTTTGAGAATTTTCCTAAGCAGGGGGAAGGGTGTAAAAAAAAGAGGTTTGTTTTCTGATTGAGGCAGTATTTGTCAACAAACAAACAAACAAACAGAGTCAAGATAGAAACATACAAGAACATACGCATTTTCTATTTTGACTTTCTGCAGTCTGTTAGGCAAGAAGGCAGCAATCCACTTGTGCAAAAATCCAGAAATGCCATAAGAATTTAGTTTCAACAGCAGTTTATCATTTCCACAACAGCATCGGAATGGGAGTCATCCAGATTGCTGTGGGAGAGTTTACACCAATCTCTTTAATCTGATGCCTGAACACCAGTATTACATGTTTGTCCTATACAGGTAGTCCCCGACTTATGACCACAATTGAGCCAAACATCTGTTGCTAAGTGAGACATTTGCTAAGTGACTTTTGCCACAGCTCACCACCTTTCTTGCTTGGTGTTAAGTGAATCACTACAGTTGGGAAATTAGTGACACAGTTGTCATATGAATCTGGCTTCCCCATTGATTTTGTCAAGTGGTCACAAAAGCTGATCATGTGACCCCTGACACTGCATCATAAATACGGGTCAGCTGCCAAGTGTCTGGATTTTGATCACATGACCATGGGGATGCTGCCAGTCACGTGAAAATGGGCGTTGGTATAATTACCTGAGAACCCCCTTTCTATCTACGCTGCAAGAGAGTCCA